CTAGCATTTCACTTACAGCTGAACACATAATACACTACATCCATGGATCTAGGGTCCTCCCGTGACTGAAAAGTTAGCTAAGGAGATAGCAATCCCTAAAGAGCTCTGGCTTTTACTTTTGTCACTCTTTATGTGCTTTGCTTTATGTCTTTTGCTTCAGTGGCATCAGTAGTGTTGAATCATTCCTCCACCTCTGACTTCATTTTCTGTCTACCTACCTTTTGTTCCACCTAACGTCTCTTCTCTTTATTCATCTCTCAAAAGTTTCGAGCATTTCAAAGTCCACAAATATCTTAACCTTTGCCAATTTGCCATCTCCTCCTTTGCAATTCTGTGATCTTTCTTCTCTTCCTACAGACAAACCTCTTTTTCCTCTTTAAGGTATCCTCTTGTTCTTCCAGCTGGAATCTTAACCTCATGGACTATAGTGCAGATATAGAATGATTTTTTTTAAAATAAAAGTCTACATTCATATTGGATACAGAGGGAGAAAAGGCGGCGTGTTTCTCCCAGACCCCAGCTCTATCTTACCCCTTCAGAGAGAGGTTTCCACACAGATTTACATCTAGTCTTACCTTTCTGATTCCTCTTCCCTTACCCATTTGGAGCCCCGCCATTCTCCAGTGTCCTGCATTGCTCATCTTCTTGTCTGAGCTACTATGTGGAATCTCCACCAGGAGAGGGGGCCTTTAGCCTTTTAGAGAAGGTGAAGCACAAGTGGCATCTTTTAAGCTAAAGCCTTTCTTTTGCGTGTGTGTGTGTGTGTGTGTGTGTGTGTGTGTGTGTGTGTGTGATATCGGCAGCTGTACATAACAGAGAAGAAAACAAAAACAATTGACTTCCGTTTTGCTGAGAATATCCCGTTCTACTCTGTTATAGTGTGAGATCCTGCTACTGCTGTGAGACTTCTTATACACTCTTTTCCTCACCTGCAGGCCTGTACTTCATGTCACACCACCCCTCTCCCGCCGACACCCACGCAATTCCAGGATTATTACAGGGACGATGATAGTTTCCTTTTGCTCAGGGAGTGTATGTGTGTGAGTATGTGTGTGTCTGTGAGCTTGAAAGGTATTGTCCTATAGATATTTTTATAACCTGAAGCAATTACAGTTGTCAGCAGAGAGACAAGCTGTGACAAGTTGATTTATGTGTACAGTATATGTGTATGCAAGAGGGAAGGGAGGAAGGAGTGGAGATAGGGGAAGAAGGTGGAGTTGGGGGCTCATTAGAAACCTGCCTTCCAGGAAGCAGAAAGGAAGTTTTGTTCTCTAAAGAACACAAATAATGAAACTGCTCTGGCTGTCATCCCTTTTTCATTAGTTCAGCTATGCTGGGGAAAAGAAAATAAAACCCCCAAATTTTTTTGAAGCCAGAGACAGGATATAAAATAAGCCACTAAATGTTGGTTACATTTTGGGATTAAGAGATGGGAAAGGAGTTCATATGGTTTTGCTCTTTAGCTATTGGACCACTTCACTAGCAAGTTTGGAATGTGTCTTATTAATTATGTGGGCATAATTACATTTGGTGGCTTTCTAAACCTTCCTTTTTAAATAAAATCTGGACTTCTGAGTCCCAAAAGCAAGTGTAAGGTTGCAAGTGGATTTTCTTCTCCACGCTCCGAGTTACTCTGACTGTATTAGATTTCTGTTGGCAACTGCTGTGATGCTTCGATTTAGCTTTCTCTCTTCACGGCCAGGGACAAAGATGAGTTGACTGTTTCAGATCAACGACAGGCTGGCCAGTATAAGCTGAAGATCGTAAAGAGTACACATGGAGGATAATTTTTCTGTCCAGCCATAATACTGAAACACTGGTAGACAAAATGTATTAGTAAAACATCTTCCATCTTAAATGGATTTGTAAGTATTTTACTGTATAGTTAATCATGTATGTGAGTCCCAGGGGAAGGCTTGTTGTCATTATACACATTCCTCGATGAAAAAAATCTAATGCTCATTTGTACCTGCCTCAGAATTAAATGCAAAAACCAGAATTAGAATTTGTCATAAGAGGAGTCTTTCGTGCTATTCTCAGGACTGTAGGGAAATGATTCTGAATCCTGAAATAAGCCCTCTGCTTTCCCATGACTACAGTTTATTTCTCCTGAGCTTTTGAGGAAGAGGAACTCCAAAATCATCAGGCTGAAGTCAGTAAACATAATCTCAACTCCTTTGTCCGTTCTCATCTCATCTTAACTTTGTAAAGTCATTTGATTTCCTTTTCTGCAATTTCCCCATTGTAAGGTGAGACAACATAGGGTCAAGACAGAATAGTGATAAAATACACCCTTTCTCTTTCCTTTAAAAAATAGAAATGAAACTCTTGCTTCTCAGGTACATTTTTTTAAAAGTTGTTTATTTCAGTCATAAAGTGACTCAATTTTCTTCTTATTCTTTTATTTTTTTAGTGCTATCTCTCAAGGGCAAAAGAAACCACTGAGATTCAGTGAGCACTGAATATCAGAAAAAGACAGCAGAGGAGATAAGGGGGAAACTTGCTTGTTGGTTAATTAATGAAAAAATATTTTTAGATCATCATGTAAAATTACTCAACTTTTCATGGTTGGTCAGCCACATTCTGTTCAACTATTAAAACTGGAAAAGCACCTATTCAATCTTAATCGCCCAGACACTACCTTTCTTAGTGGTAAAGAGCTGCACTACCGACTTGAAGGCAAGTGGTTCATATCTACCAGCTACTCCACAGTGATTTCCTGCCTCTTATAAACTGCTGGAGAGTCAGCTATGGGTTGGTTCTGACTCAGTGGTATATAACTGTCTCTGTAAAGCACAGTGTCTCGAGAGGGTGCATATAGGGTGGAGAAATGATTATTCTGTCTCCAACCTGTTGGCTACATGTGTGATTATTACTACTGGCAAGATGCAAGGGCTTTTGTGCTACCTGCCTGTAGAGTTCGAGACCCTTTATTTGGTGCTGGATAGCACTGAAGAAGACACTTTGTCTTTGATACTTGAGATAGGAGTGAGAGAAAGAACAAAATCCCTGGTTGGATGTCAAAGAATGTCTAAGGGGGAAGAACAAAATTAGTCCCCTCCCTGCTTGCTCCAGGAAGGAATGGGTCAGGGCCTGAAGCTCAGATCCAGAAGTCCCTCAGACATGCAGATGTCCTAACCCTGCCTGGAGCACTACCCAGCATTCTAGGAGCCACTCCTGTTGCTGCTGACAGAGGCCAGCCCCAGGAAGGGCAGCAGACACTGCCTTCATCAGAGCTGAAGCACGGGGAGAACTAACCATGTGGGTACAGTGAAGGTACAGAGGAAGCAGCTGAGAGGGGCAATGTGAGGGGTTCCAGAATGCAAAAACTCACCACCACAAGATGAAGTCGACTGCACAGGAGTGTGAAGCGTAGGACACGTGAGCGTCCACCACAGAAACACTGCATGTGGCTCACGCATCCTCATGGGTACTCCTGCCAGGCTAGCATCTCATCAAACTCAAGAATGAAGAATCTAAGTCAATCTTAAAATTTAAGTAAAATTTGGGTGCGATTTTTTTTTTTTTTTCAGTTTCACACAGTTTCTGTGATTCTACATGTCTTATATATGCAATCTATATAGAACTGTGTCAGCTCTGTTTTGGTGTTGTAAGGAGCTTTTTTGGGGAGGGGGAAGCTGATTGGGATGGTGTAGCACTACTGAATACAAATGTGATTATTCTAAAACATCCTTCCAACACCTGAGTTTACTCTAAATGCTAATGGAATCTATCTAGGCGTTGTTTAAAAGTGCATGCTGCGGGGGTTTATTTTCGTAGTTAATTAGACTATGAACCTTATTATGCTGTCTCTGCTCTGTTAAGAATGGAGTGACTTCCTTTTAATTTGGAACCCTCAGCTTTGGCAGGGAGGGGAATGGTTAAGGGCTGGCCGGCTGCGGCACGGCGGGGGTTAAGCGGGTTGGCTGCGGCGCGCACACTCGCCACGGTTCCGGTGCTCAGGCTGCGCCGGGCGCGCGCGCCAGGGTCCGCGTCGGAAGAGAGTGGTGGTCAGTGATGGAGCTGCTGCCATGACAACCCTGGAAGTGTGTGCCAGCGCGAGGCGGGGACGCTCCTGGGAGGAAGGCGGCGCTGAGCCCGGGGGCCGCCGCTGAGCTGGGCGTCCCCGGTGCCGCCGCCCGTCGCCGCGGCATCTCTCGCTCGGAGCCGGGAAGGAGTCGCGCGCGCGGGTTACCGCCCGGCCCTGCTGCCCGCGCCGCGCCCGGCGGAGGTCTGGGTGGCAGTGCGCGCGGGCGAAGCGCGCCCTGGTGTGGGGTGCGCACCGGTGTCCGCGAGCGGCCGAGGCGTTCCCGGCTGGAGTCGGGCCCGGATCGCAGGCAGCCTCCGCTCCGCGCGCCCCGCCGTTCCTGCACCGCGTACTTTCTCTGCCTTTGTGACCGTTTTGTTCCTGGCAGCAAGCCTGGCCCTCAAACTTACAAAGAAAGTATTGGTTTTTCACCCTCTTTGGAACTGAGGAATCCTAGACCATTTCTGGGCAGGGGAATCCAACCTGCCCTCTTCCTCTTCTGGGTACCAAAGTGCTTACTCCTCTCCAAAGTGCCATGTCTCAACTCGTAGCGGGAAGAACTGGCTCCTAAGCCTGGCTCACACCTTGGGTCCTGCCTTCCGCTCCCGGGATCCGCACTTTCCCTGCAGGAGCAGCGCAGAGAGGCCCCTTCGGATGTCCTCCGTGGAGACTGGCTGGCCAGGGCTGGGGAGCTGAGGCTGGATTTGGGGAGGAAAACTGGACTTGGAGGCGTTTACGCGCTTTTCTCCTCCCCGCTCCTCGCTGCTCGCCGTTGCCAGTAGCTCTTCCCAAAGGCCACCCCCCCCCCGACCCTAAGCCACCCCAATTCCTGTGCTCGCTGGGGCGTGTGTCCTGCTGCTGCTGAGTTCTGGAAAGTTGTGTCGGTCGAGAATGGGTGTCTGTGGGTACCTGTTCCTGCCCTGGAAGTGCCTCGTGGTCGTGTCTCTCAGGCTGCTGTTCCTTGTACCCACAGGAGTGCCGGTGCGCAGCGGAGATGCCACCTTCCCCAAAGCTATGGACAACGTGACAGTCCGGCAAGGGGAGAGCGCCACCCTCAGGTAGGGAGCTACCATTCATATGTGACTTGAGGACGGTTTGTGTAGGGGTGTGGTAAGGGTCGGGGTACAGGTGTGTGAACTGGAGCATGCTGGACCGGCTCCAGGGTCACCGGTCCCCTCAAGAACGTGTTTTTGCATTGCTGCTGAGGGAATGTGACAGGCCGGGAGGAACTTCTCATCCCCAAACCGGCCTTCTTTGGTCCTTGGAACTTGTAAAGGTGAAGGATTAAGGCCAGGGAGTTGCAGAGGGTCAGCAAACTTGGTGGCAGTGGAAGCTATGTACCTGCCTGAGCTTCACAAAGCAAGTTTTCTAAGAAGTAATGAGCTCCAAATGACAGGCCTGGCTTGATCCAGATGCCCTCCTTCTGCCCATGCCATGGTGCATTGCCAGCCTGGGCCTCTGTAGGCCTGCACAGCTATTGCTTTGCCCTGGGCTCTCCTGGGGGCCTGGATACCATGAGCTGGGGACAAGTGCTTTCTTCTGTCTGAAAGTGAATTTCTGTTGCTGAAGTTACGGAGATGATGGAGACTTGTCCAATGAAACCAGAATTTATTCTGGTTGACTGTGCTGTCCACCAAGCAATAGTGCAGAGCTCATCAACTGAATAGAAACTGGATTTCTGTGCTGTGTGGAGTTCTGGTTAGCTTCTGGGGTTAAGGTTTGGAGAAAATGGGAAGGAGGAGGGGAAGAATCTTGACTGTGCTTTGTGTAAGGTAGAGTGATTCCACCTTCTTGTTTAATTTGCTGACAAACACTCAGTTCTCAGTGTCTCCCAGTTACACTACCAGCATCAGGACAACATAGAATTAGTGATGGTCATGGAAAAACCTTATTCTGTGGGCTTTCATAAGACAGTGAGCATAAAGTAAAAATTAAATATAAACAGATTCTTGGAAAAACCCAAACTAAACCAAATCTATCCCCCTAATTAAGGTCCCAACCTGGGCAGCGGGACTAACCACAAGGCCACATCCCCATCCTGTTGCTGATACCCTGGATTTTTCACTCATGCTATTGGTCTCAGACTAGGTGACTTGAAGAGAGTGCACTCAGGATGGAAAATGTGGAGGTGAGGCAGTCCAGAGTTGAATTGCTAAGAATTGCCAAGGAAAAGTATGAGTCAAAAGAGCTCTGTGTCTTAGGGAAGTTAACCTTCCAGGCCCAGGGGAATTGCTAGTTGTAGAATCTTTCCCTCCACTGAGATTTTTAGAAACTGTTTTGAACAGAGGTTAAATATACCATGTCTATATACCTGGTTTATAAGGAGATATCAGGGGTGCTACACATATTCAGCTTCTTCAGATTACTCAAGGATAGAAACATAAATGAACTGCTAAAGCAGTGTAGCCAATGATATCTAGTGGCTCACTGGTTGTACCCTGTCCCTATCCATTGACAAAGAGGATCCCACCGGGGTCGTCTTCTTAAAGAGAATGATTATGTATAGATGAGGTTATTTTTTTTCTTTTTCCAGGAGGAAGTAAATGGCTCTGTGGAGAATTGGAGATAATAAATAGCAAGGGTTCCTGACAGGCAGTTTCTTCAGTGTTAGAGGAAAATTAAAAAGGTTGGGGTCTGGCTTCCAGCAGGCAGCTCCTGAATCTCACTGCACTTGGCACTTTAGAGTGGATTCAGCTGTAGGCAAACTGGCCTGGACTACAAGCAGCTTCCCTTTAAAACTGAGGAGCATGTGCTGGCCAGACTCTTTTCTTTGTCTTTCCTCCCGTGACTCTATGCTGTCTTCTGTGGACAGTCGCTGGTATTTGTTTGCATCTTCACATGGGCTTTGGTCACATTGGTTTTGTCTGAGTATGGATAAAAGAAAAGGGACAAGGGAGGGGGGGGGAACATTTTTTTTTAGACCCTAGAATAGGCTGTGACCTAGCCCTGGTACTGGAAGGGCATCCTGGAATCCCAACCCCAGGTCCAAATGTCTTCAGGATCCTCACAGTGGGAAGGAGTGCACAGGGCGTGGTCAAGCTGTTGGCCATGGGTCTGGTTTGGGATGTGAGAGAGCCTGTTTTGTCAGGCAGCCTGTGTAGGATGGGCGCTGGCAGTTTACCCTGAGTCTTTCTCAGACTTGATGCGCTGGATTAGTAAGGGTTACATCACAGATATATGTGATTATCAAGTGGAAGCCCATGCAGTCTTAAACTCAGGCTCTGTGCTCTGTGATCCTCTGTGCAGGGAATCAAGTCACAGACATAGAATGCTTTGTTTTCATAAAATCTGCCACATTTACTGTTAACTAGTTCTGGGATGCATACAACTTTACAGCGATCTAATGGTCTAGGGATCTATGTAAGTTAATTTTTTAATTTTTATTATCAGGAAAGAGGTTGCATTTCTTTCCCCCCTTCACATACATACTTTTCTTGCAAAGTATGCTGAAGCACAGTGGTGTGTCACCAGCCTGGAGGCCCACTATAGCTAGCTATGTACATTCCTGTGATGGTAGAGATGCATGCAGTTTTCTTCATGACCAACAGAGGACTTTTTGCTCTAATTGAATTTATTTTGCTTTGCTCCCACCAGTTTATTTCTTTTTTTGGTGTTCCCCCCTTATAATTTTTATTACTTCTCCAAAACTAAGTCCTTCAGCAGAAGGTTAGATTTTAATGTAAGGAGACTGCTAAGATGTATTATCTAGTTAGCTCTGCTCAGCTCTGTGGAGTTATCAGAAACCTTGTACCCAACATGACAGTGACAATCTGAAGAGAATTAAAAGCAATTCAAAACCCTTACTCTTCTTGCTCACTTGCTGAGTGTCTATATGAATATTTTTGAAGAATGGACCTGCATAAAATATAATAATAATAATAATAATAATAATATGCAATTTTATAAGCAAAACTGGGCTTCAAGAACGTATTGATGCCAAATTACGAAGCACTAGTGGGTAATGATAATAGTAACAAAACGAATAGTGCTCTATCAATTATTGTTCAGTGGTGGCGCTAAATATTTTGTGTACACAATAACATTAAATACTTATAGCAACTTGCTGAAATAGATGCAGCTGTTTTCATGGTGCAGATGAGAAAACTAAGGCCCATGTAGTGCGTAGTAGAGCTGATATTCTGACTTGGGACTAGACTCTGTCTTTGTGCCCCAGGCTTTCTTGAGACTGCTCAGGTCTCCTTCATCCTGTGCTCTCCTAGCACCTTGGCGTTGTGTAATGGAAATGCTCATTTGGATTTCAATCCTTTCCTGCAGTGTTGCTTAACTCTTCTTTCTCTTTTTCCACTTGAATTGGAGGGCCACTTTTAGAAAAGGAACCTTTCTTACAGCCCTACATGCTCACAAGTATTTGTTGAATAGACAGAATAAATGAAAACAAAACAATATTCTCTGGCCTGTCATCAATTATCTCCCAACCATATTTGTACCATGTTATTTTAAGATAGAGCTGTAGTCTGTCAACAAAGAATGGTTCTTACTTCAAGTGCACTGAGCTTGGTGTTGGGTGTGCAACTCTCTCAAGGGACTTGGCTCCAACTCAGAAAGCCAGGCTTGTGAACTGAAGATAATTAATCGTCTCAAGGAGAAGGTGTGCCCATTAACAAGTGCATAATACTCTCACGCTGCTTGGAGGAGAGCTCCTTCCCTTTGAGGCAAGGTGTGTATAGTGCAGGACTGAGGTGGTGTGAAGGGCAGGAGAACAGCAGGGTGGATGCTGTTCAGGAAGCATGAAAACCTCTTTGGACAATCTAGATGAATGCATACCTCCTGCCTCCATCAATGCTCCAAAAAGCAACTGGCAAGTGGAGTGAATGATTTCCTTGGAATTGGCTAGTGAAGAGTGTCAGAGGCTGAACTCTACCTTCTGTCATGTGTCTAGACTGCAGGCTTTGTGATGGAATGTGGCCATTGTTTTATGGAGGATGAGTTTAGAATAAATGGTCTAAGGGATGTGTGAGATTTTCTCTATTTTGATTTAGCATTTCTATCCAATAGCACAAAATAATGTGGTTTTTGTATTTATGGGGACACAAAGTCACCTTGATTTAAAATCTCATGGTACTTTATTCATCTCATGTAAAGCATTTAACATTTCATGTTATAAATAGATAGATCCCTTATTGATCTCTGCAGGTACAGCCTGAGAACGATGCTTTAAAAAAGAACAATGCCTTACTCAGATTTCTACCCCGATTTAACACATAACTTGGCCCCTGTTATTTACCAATAAAGTTGAATGATTATACTTCCAAGTCTTCTCTATACCCACTATGCTGTGAGCACCCAGCCATCTGCTTGCTTTGTGAATACAGAAAACAAATTCCTGTTGATTTCCATGCTTTCTGCTGTCAGGAACACCATCCCACTCTGCGGGAGAGGATTCATTTCTGCCTCAACTCAGATGAAATTCCCTTCCTGATCTTTTTTTGACACTCAATACAAAATTCTCCCCTACCCTGCCCACCAGTTGTTTCTGGCATATGTCATATGATCCTGGTCTCCCCTTCCCTTTCTGGGAAGTTATCTTTATTGGAAATGATCCTGTTCATTATATTAGTTCATTATGGTTTGCCTTTCTCAATTAGGCTATCATTACCTTGAGGCCATGTATTATCCCCCCCCCCCCTTATTCAACACTGTATTCTTGCAACTGGCACAAAGAAGACATTCAGTAAACAACTACTGCCTAAGTGACTGACTATTTGAACTCATTCTTAGCCTCTTCTTGGCCTTGCCCATCCTTTCCCTGGGTTGTCTAGTGCTGTCCTTACCCTGGATTTGTTGCTGGCCCACTATCATTTCTGCCTGGGCTACACAGTTGCGTCAAATTGTAGCACTGGAGGTATATGTAGGCTATCACAAATGTGCTTAAGTCATCAAGCTGATGTCTTGTGGGCTAGGATATATGTGGGATGCATAGAGTGCCCATCATGTTATAGCTGCAGCTCCCTAGCCCTTAAGCATTTGAAAACATACTACTTTGAGGCTGTTTTCAACCCCATGTGGACCTTAAGAAAATCGGTGCTCAGGTAGGAAG